ACATACCTGGCCTGGAATGTAGATTCTTGAATTCAATTTAGATCTAGATTCTAGAAATAGAAGGAACTCTTGTGTAATCTGAAAGTAGAAAACCAAACAGCTCATGTAATCAGTGTTTTCCTTCTATTAGCATTTTTTTGAAAGCAAATAAGAAAATAAATTGATACTATGGATCTTTATTTCCTTACTCCCTTCTGTAGTATCAGGTGTGATTAAAGTTATGGTGAAATCTGGAAATGCTTCCAACATATTCGTTCATGTCCCACCCCTCCTTTCTCCCTCCCTGCCCCTTTTCCATGGTGGATGTCCTGAACACTCTTGCTTAACTTTCTCTTCCCAAGCAGTCCATGATCCTTCTTTGCACGTGCTTGTCTCTCTTCAAGATGCATTCTTTCCTCCTTTTGTCCCTGACCAGCTCCTCTCTGTTCATAGGGTCTCGATTTAGATGTTTGTTCATCCGGGTCTCCTTCACCTTTCAAGCTATGTTAGGTATTCCTCTGGTGGGCGCTTGGAGCACCTGTGTTGATGCCTGAGGTAGTGTTAGTGGTCATATTTTAAATGCCAACATCTTCATATCTCTGACCATCAACTTCACAAGGAAAATATGCTAATCTTGTTTATCACTGGTTCTGCTGAGCCTTATGCAGACAATGACACATGAGAGACATTCAGTAAATATTTGTTGGATGAATGTCCCAGTGTCCCTGTATTATAAACATCACTTTAAATGGGAACAAAGTGACTTATCGTATGTTGTATAATAACAAGCACATGTTTGTTTATCTTCACCTGGTACCTGACACACATGGTCATAGGAACTATCTTTTTCTTTTGGATTTTTGAGACAGCGTCTCACTATGCAGTTGAGACTGACCTGGAACTCACTATGTAGCCCAGGCTGGTCTCAAACTCACAGCGATTCTCCTGCCTCAGCCTCCCCAGTGCTGGGATTACAGGCATGCTCCACCACACCCGGCTCTAGGAACTATCTTTTCTATGTGTTCTTGTACAAAATTCCTCAAACCTTCTGAATTTCCTGACTGATGAGAGTATCACTTGTTCATCATGACAGTGCTTTTCCATCACACCTGAATTTATGATAAAGCAGTGACAAACTGGGATGCATAAGATAGTCTCAAGATGGGCCTTATCACCAGAAAGACCAAGTGACTAGAGGATCACCATATTTCTCAGAAAATAAAACAGGGTCTTTTTTTTTTTAAGACAGGGCCTTACGTCAATTTTTCTTCCAAAAGATACAATTGGGTTTATTTTCAGAGGATTTCTTATTTTTTCATGTACAACAAACTGCATTTATTCCTGTACAAAAATCTACATTTATGTACAAAATCTACATTTATCTAAATACAGTCCTGTCATCTTTTGCTGGAACATCATCATAACTCTCCAAACCCCCAAACTCCAGCCTGAATTTCTTGCAACTCCATTTCCTGTAAAACTGTTGGCCCTAATCTCTCATGCCCAGCAGCATAGCTTTCCTTAAATGAGTACTTCTTGTCCATGTAGCCTGCTTAAAGTGCATTGGCAACACAGCTGTCAGTGGTTTTATCCCATGAATACTTTGCCCAAGTCATGACCTCTTGCAGGCTGGGCTTCTCAAAGCTTCCATTAAATCAAGGGTAAATTGAAGACTTATGAGACAGGAGTGGCAGCAAAAATAATCCAGTTAAGAATGATGGGCCACTAGCCTGCCTCGCAAGCTCAGGGTCCTGAGTTCAATCCCCGGTACCAAAAAAAAAAAGAATGAATGATGGGCCACAAAAAATTGCAGGCACCAAAATTCAGAAAATGTTTCCTCCTTTTACACCTGTATATTAAGCACCTTCATTATAGTTCAGGACATGCTGAATTATGAAGATTCATATTAGACACAACCACATCTGTTTGTTATCATGTGTGCAAATTATTCCTGGTTATGTCTGTACTCCCATTGGTTGGTCATTGGGCAGTATGGTAAGTCTCTAGTTCATTTATTTATTTATTTTTTTGTTACTGGGAATTGAACTCAGGTCCTTGCGCTTGTGAGGCAGGCAGCGGAACTACTGAGCTAAATCCCCGGCCCATCTAATTCATCTGTTTATATAGGCATTTACCTCTTGTCCAAAGGTACCTGCTTGGGGATTTACAAATGCTTAATTAGAATTTATATTATTATTTTAAGTATTAATGCTAATGTCATTTATATTTAATTATACATTAATATTGTTTTATAATTCAATACATCTGTCATGTGTTGCAGTGGACATACTCAATATATCAGTTTGACTAATGATCTTAACTGGAGCTTATTTTAGGGGTACAGCTTGCATTACAAGCTTCCAGAAAGATTGTGTTAGGGCTTATCTTCCAGTTAGGTCTTATTTTCTGGGAAATGTGCTAGGTACTCCAAATACCTGTCTGACAAGTGAACTGTTGCATCAGCAATGGGCACTGTGTTCTCCAGCCCTGGTCCCTGCAGTAGGTGTTGTAGATACACAGGTGAATAAGGCTTCTCTGCCCCCACAGGCTGGGGTGACACTAATGAGGTAATGTGCAGTCCTTGATAGCTGAAGTACTTCATGGGGGACTCACAGGACTTCTGCTCTGCAGCCTTGTGACCCTCTGCCATGGTCTTTCCTCAAGGGACTCAGCAGAGGCAGAGCCCTTGTGTGGACCTGGGTGTCCAGTGTTTCAACAGATATACTAAATACATCTGTCTGATAATTTTAACTGATGTTAATTTCAAGTTAGAGGTTATATTAGGAGCACCCTGAAAAATCACACTAGGGCTAACTTTCCAGTTAGGCCTTATTTTTAGGGGGTACATTAGAGGGTTGGAACTCTCAGCCCCACTCAGAGGCCTCCAAGAAAAAGTGAGGGGCCTAGAGATCAAAGTCTGTAAAAACTTTCTTTTTTGGGGTACCAGGGATTAAACTTGGGCCCTTGCGCATGTGAGGCAGGCCCCAGAACCACTGAGCTAAACGCCCGGCCCATAAAGCCTTTCTGACCAGGAGATTTGGTGAGCTTCTGAGTTGGTGACTACAGACATCTGCCAGGAGGGTAGCACTCAGAAGCTCCTGTGCTCAGGCTCCTTCTAGATCTTGCTCTATGTGCTTCTTCTCTGTCCTTTGTAATAAAGTGGCAAATGTGTCTCCCCATGTTCTGAGAGCCATCCTAGCATATGAACCCAAGGAGGAAGTTGTGGGACTCAGGTTTGTAGCTATTATCTCAGGTAGATAGTTTAAGTTGGTTTTTTGTTTCTTTGTTGTTTTTGAGACAGGGTCTTGCTATGTAGTGCTGGCTGGCCTTGTACACTATGTACATGCTGGCCTCAAACTTTTGATGATCCTCCTGCCTCAGTCTCCCGAGTGCCGGGATTACAGACATGTGCCACCATGCCCAGAATAGTCTAAGAATTGAACTGAATTATGGGACACGCAGTTGGTGTTCACTGGAGAATTGGTGTGTAGAGGAATGAGTGTGAACTGGTCTCAGAAGTGTGCAGTGGGTGTCTTAATCAAAGAGGGAAAATGTTTTATTTTTTCCTTTTTACATATGGGTGACCACGATTTATACAACCATTCCCCGGTTATTTTTCTTTTAGATTATCTAGTTTTTCATTGTCATAATAGTATGATACTGTAGATGGATAGCTTGTATATAAAATGGTGCCTCTGCCCAAGTTTCTTCCCAAAGAGGTACTGGCTTAAGCTTTCACCATTACTGTAAGGAGGTGTCTAACTCCATAGTCTCTTCAACTTTGATTTTTCCATTTTTAAACATCCTTACCAATTTGATCTGTTAAATAGTATCTTTCTGTTTAATGTGAAAAAGTGAGGTTAAATATTGTCTCAAATAGTTGTAAACCATAGAGATTTATTCTCTGTGAGGGGAACTAGCAATATTTCCCCACCCTTGTGTGGAATGCCAGTTTGAATATTTTTTGTCTTACATACTCCATTAAATGTTTAGGCTTTTTATAAGGTAGATTTCTAATTAAATGGATTGCCCCAAAGTTGGAATATAATTGAATCATTTCATTTTGATCTTCCTCATTAATGTTCCTCAGCATGTTCACAATTCAAAAAAAATCATTAAATGTGTAGAGTTAGTTTTTAAAACAATGTTTAAGATATATTCTTTAAATATGTACACACTGCTTGGAAATGAAAAGTAGCAGTTTCTTGAGGAGGTTGGTATTTGTGTAAGAAACTGTCACGAGTACACAGGGATCAAAAGTTGTACCTGAGGTGTGGATGGAAGAATACACACTAGGTAGACCTGCTCAGGACAGGGAGACTAGTGTGAGAACATTCCTAATTCAGCTACTTTTAGAGCTGGTCTGATAGAAGGGCTAATTTAAAATCTTGAGATACGGGATTTTGTCTTAACTCGAATAAATTTGCTAATTATTTACTATCCACAGATTGTTTAACTGGTGTCTGTGTTTACACTGTTAAGTTCCTTTTAACTCTAAAAATCTTTGATCTTATTCTTCAAGGGACGTAATACTCTTCTTGTGAATCCAGATGTTTTCTTGCAATAGCTGGGAACACTTTTGGAAAACAATTCATACTTGTTGGGAACTTGGGGGAAAAAAGTAGGGAAAATTCCTCTTACCAGCCAGATATTTAGAATCTAAATTCTAGATTGTTTTCTTCTGAAACACTTAAAGTGGTAAAATTACTTAAATTATTTGTATGTTGTTTTTCCCGGGCTGGTGAATTGTATATTGTTTTCGCTTTCAACCTGCCAGAAAAAGACAGGTTGAGTGGCTATAAAGAGCATTTCTTAGACCCGGATTTTGTGTCTAAATACAGATTTCTTGGGAGGGGAGAGAGTACCTGCAGAACCCTTTCATGCTTTAAAGAAGTTACTGAGGCAAACATGGTCCCGATTTAATCAAATGCTTTAATTAAAAGTCGTGATTAGTTGCTAGCCCTTTGCTGGCTCGAGAAAGCTGGTGGAGGCCGCTTCCTAATCTGTGTTCGATTGGCCAGGTCTGGCTCAATGTGCCGAACTCTGCTGGCAGCTGAGAGGCGTAGCCGGAAAGAGGCAAGTTCCCGGTGCAAAGGTGGCCCTGCAGCACAATTTAGGCCTCGGTGGAGCAGTTGTAGTGACACTGTACAGGATGGGTTTTCCGGAAGCCGCCAGGTAAGTGGCTTTTTGGGTTGGAGTTCATCCTTAAGACTTCACAGTTGGTGCTTTCCGTGTAAAACATCCTACTTTTATTGTCTTGGTATTACAGGGAAAGCGTGTCATTCCATTGCTTCGATCGCACGGCTTTAAAACTGGCCACTGGCTTTTAAACTTAACCAGCCTTAGGGAAATTCTCTTCCCTCAAGACAAAGCAGTGTAGTAAAAAGAGAATTCTTTGCCGATGCCCAAGCGGCTGGCTGCTGCTCTCAACCCTGGCAGCTCGTGGAGTTTAGGCAGGGTCACTGTTTGGTTTCCTTTTCCACAGCTGGCTTCTCAGGCTAATGAGGTGGTTTAGAGAAAGCCACCAAATACGCGTGGCATCGGGTCTTTGCAAATGCATGTTTCTAAATCCTGCCAAGCCCTGTTGCTGCCAAAATTCTTTGTTTCTTGCTGACTTTTCTCCTCTCCTTCAAATGCCTATACTCTTTGAGGCTCCAGGTACCTTCTAGAATCCTGCAACTTCTTTGTCACCTGTCTGAGAAGGGCTCTTTCCTTTTCAAGGCCCAACTTTCTCCTTTGCATGCTTGTGTTTCCAGCCACTCTCTAACTTTATTCCACATATTACATATACCTGCTTTTGAATCTTTCCTCCCTCACTAGCTCTTTTCCTTCTGTCAGCAAACTATTCTTAAAAAACAAATTACTTCTCTGCTTGCTTTAATTATTCTCTTTCATGATGAGCCATTTTTGGGGGCCATCTTTGCTGAAATGCCTCAATCTGGTTTTTTACCTCACCCTTCAGGTCAGGTAAAGCTGCTCTGAATGAAATTGGATGTCCTTGTCTTTGTTTTACCTCCTTATTCTTTTTAGTTGTGCCTTAGGTGTTAATACTAATTGGCTCCTTTTTATCACCTGAAATTTTAGTAATTATTTAGTTATTTACTCATACCATTTATTCACAAGGAATATGAGATACACTTCTTTTACAGAATACCTTATATTCTTACCTTTTGCAAGCTCTTGGGTCTCTTCTGTCTTCTTATTTTTCTTGGCCCAGAATGTCATTTCTTTTGTAAAAAGTTTTTTCTTTTAGACCCATCTCAAGTATCATCTCCTTTTAAATATCCACAGCTCTTGGGTTTTATTGCAATTTTGGTTTGGTTGTATTGTAATGTTGCTTATTAACTATTAAGTGAAATACTTGAGGCCCAAGACTGAATTCCCCTGCCCTTAGAGTGGCTTCCACAGTGAGTAAATGTTTGTGGAACTGAGTTAGATAAAAGACACTGAATCTTAAGTTTGCTACTAAATCTGATTTGTTGATTCTGTACTGAGTCTGGCATCCCATCCAGTCCATACTTGGAGTCAAAAACACTTAGTAGAAGCTGAACTAGGAAGAGCCACCAGAGCCAGTGTGATTTGTATAACTTTCTCAGAATAGAAAGTTGAGAACTTTGGGCAACAGATTCTGTTTTAAATGTGGAAGTCTCATAGTTTAATTATTTTCTGGAGAATAAATCTTTGGGAGAAAGAGTTGCTCATGTTTCCTAGGGTTGATTATTTCTGGAAAGACAGAAACTTGAAAAATATCCAGGTGACATTAATGACTAAAGGAGTTTGACTTGAAATGCACATTGCAGATATGATTGATAGGTTGAGTGATGAAACATCACTTTAAAAGCCAAATTAGGAAAATTTAATTCTGATGTTGCAAATAAAATAATTATAAGCTACCCATGGCATATAAACTGATTTGCTTACTCAATGAGCTAGCTTTTATGGAGCAACTACTGCATGCTTAGGCACCCCAGGTGTAATCCTGTAAGTATGTAGGGAGGATGGACATAACTTTTTTTCTAGTGCTATAGTTTACAGGAAGGTACATTTGAGGCCGGGTGTTGTGATGCACACAACAACATAACATAATTTCACCTAGTTGGGAGGCTGGGACAGGACCAAAAGTTCTAGGTCAGCCTGGGCATGACCCTGTCTAAAATAAAATTTAAAAGGGCAGGGGATGTAGCTCAGTGTTCCCTGGTTCAATCCCCCACTACTGAAAAACAGTAAAAGGTAAACATAAAAGAAGGTAAATTTTGAACTGAAATGATTAGGTGTGTCCAGCAAAAGGGTAGGGGAAAGGGCAGTCCAGGCCTATATGTATAAACATTTAGGGGAAGGAGATGAAAACAACTCTTAAGATGTGTTGTGTACCTGTTCCACCTCCCCACAAGAAATGTAATCATTATATACTGCAAACGTGTACTAATAGAAAAATAAAAACTTAAAGTAACCATAGAGCACACACACACAAATCTGTGGCCCCCCAGAAATTTCAGGGGTTGGGGGGTGGCAGAAAATACAAGGAAGTTTAGCAAGTAGTGCTGTGTGGGCAGGTGGAAGTTATTTCAGGTGGGCCTGGGTGGAAGGCAGTACTGCATGGGCAATGGTAACAGTGCAGCTTGGTCTCAGAGCACTTCAAATGCTATGCTCAGGAGTCAGGAATTTGTCTCGTAGAATATGGGTTTATCAGAGGATCCTGTGGTTGGTTATATTATATATTCGCTCTACCCATCTGGTGTTTCTTTGAGTTCAGTGGAGAGGACGGAGGCCTGAATGCCTAGAAGGCTGTTGCAGTAGTGTGGAGAATTATTTGTGCTGCAACAGGGTCTTGAAAGTGAAGGGAAGAGGTCATAGTTAAGAACTGTGATGACTGTGTTTGATGTACGGTTAAAGTTTTCTTTAATTAGGCCAGTTTTGAACACAAGTGTCGGCTTTGATTAAAACAACCTCTTGATCTTTTTATGTAAGTAGAAAGCTTTTGTGATGCAGACAGAATAAATCTGCATTCTGTACTGGATTAGAGGGAAACTATTTCTAAAACTCAGTTTTATTACCTATTTCTTTTTTAAAAAGTAAGGTTTAATTTGCATACAGCAAAATGTACCTTTTTAGTATATATCTGCAAGTTTTGGCATACATAGTTGTATAACTACCACTGAAGTCAAGGTATTGAATAATTCTACCACCCCTCCCCTAATTCAGCTGTTGTTCCTACTCCTTCACCTCTGGCATCCACTCATCTATTTTCTGCTCTTGTGGTTTCCCCTTTCCTTTTTCTTTTTTTGCAAGGCAGGTGTTGTGCCACTGAGCTACATCCCCAGCCCTAGTTTTCCCTTTTCATGAATGACATGTGAGTGAAGTCAGTAAGCCTTTGAGGGTGACTTCAGCACAGGCCTTTGAGAATCATCCACTTTATTGTATATAGTATTGGTAATTTGTTACTTTTTATTGCTCAGTAGTATTCCATTGTTTGGATTTACTGCACTTTGTTTATTCATTCAATCAAGGGGGTTTTGAATAGTTGAGCTGCTTCAGTTTTTTTTTTAAATTGGAAGCTAGGGTTGAACGTTTGAAAGTTAGAGGTAGGAATTGCTCGTATGTAATGATTACAACTGTGTGCCTGCCCATAAACAAGGACTTGAAGGAGCCATATGGAAAAATGAATATAGCAGTTTTATTGGAGCAATGGCATTAAAGGTGATTAGCTTTTTCCTTTTCTGGATTTCCATTCAGTTAGAACTTTGCCTTTTGATATAATTTCAAGCATACATGGGAAAAATGTGCAAGAATATAGTACAAGGAGCTCTCATAAACCTTGGGCCTAGATTTATCAGTTTTGACATTTTCCCCATTAGTTTTGTTACTTTTTCTCTACATATATTTATATCTATATGTATATTTCATGACTATTTGAGAGAAAGTTGGAGGCATTATGCTCATTTACCCTTAAAGATTTTTGTGTGCATTGGTAAGAACAAGGACATTCTCTTAAAAACCACATTAGTTATCAAAATAAGACAATTTAACACTCATACCACACTGTATAATATTTAATCTAAAGAACATACTTCCAGTTCAACAGTTGTTTCAAGACTAAGCTTTATGTTTTTTTTTCTCCCTGTCCAGAAGAAATCCCTGAATGCACTTAGCTGCTGTATCTCTTTAATATCCTTTAATCTGAAACAATTCTTCAGCCATTTTTTACATTTCTTGACCTTGGTTGTTTTGAAAGGTACAGGTACATTCATTAAGAGTGAAATGTCCCTGGGTTTCTATTTGTTAGATGTTTCCCTGTAATGAGTCTCAGGTTAAGTGATGTTGTATCCTCAGTACATCATATCCTGCGGTGCATGGTGTTGCTTGACCTATACTGATAATGTTAGCTTTGATTACTTGATTAATGGCATCTACCATGTTTTCCTCTGAAAACTTTCTGGACTTCTTTTTCCTTCTTGTAGTTAATGAGTAAGTTGTGGTGAAATGCTTTGCCCTATCACATCTTCACCTGTTACCCATTCATTTTAGCATCCATTGATGATAGTCTAACTTCATCATCTATTATGTGGGTTTTTTGGTTGTTGTTGCTTTATTTATTTATTTAGCCAGGGTTTAACTATATAGTTCATGCTGGCCTTGAACTCACTATGTAGCCCAAAGCTGGCCTCAAACTCAAAGCAGTCCTCCTGCCTCAGCACCCCAAGTGCTGGAATTACAGGTGTGTGCCACCACACCTGGCTGCTAGTATGTTTATTAACTGCATTCACCAGCAATGAAGACCTTTCTCTCCTATTCTGTTTTTACATTTATCCATATATACTACATGAAATCATGGATTCTTATTTTACTCAATGGATTATAACCCATTCGGATAAATCATCTTGATGCTTAGAATGCCGCTGACTTGGATAGTGAGAACCTTATGCCCCTGAACTGAATCATACATCCCTGTGAATCTTTTCAGTAGTATTTCCCTACTTTCTGGATCATTTTGTACTTTCCATGCTCCCTCCCTGGGATCAGTTGTTTCTCCAAGGAGCCGTGGTTCTCTTTAATGGAGAATGATATTTAGAAACCATTGTGTGGCCTCTAGCTCTGTGCTCACAGTTAACTACTTTTAGGCCTTCTCAGCAGGCACAGGGACACACACACACACACACACACACACACACACACGT